AGTTCCTTTCAAAAATACAGTGAAAACTTTATAATATGAACAAGAACATCATAATTGCATTTGTTATGCATGCAACACTCATGCAAATGTGTCTAAAATTATTTTTGTACAGTTCAACCTTTGTTCTGTTCAATGACCTTTGAGAATTTCATTCTTTGTGTGTATGTATATATATATATCAATTATAGGTTAATTGGAAAAACATTAAAATGACAGATAAGTAAGAATATGAGAATGAATTGCAGCCACATAAAGTATGGTACATTCAAAATGTGTAAATTTTACACATCTTCATAATATCATAGCATAGTTTACTGTTTAACTTTATTTCAGCTAATCTAGATGTATTTCTATTTCAGCTATTATAGATGTATATGTGTTTATGTTTCAGCAGCTTGGTGTTACATAAGTCACATCACAATCAGGCTCTATTCTGTCCTTCGCAAGCTGCTATTCTGGGTTCATTTGTTTTGGGGTACATTTTCTTTGTAGTGATTTGCACTTAGTATGTATAGATTTCTTTTATCAAAGTATGAATTGTGTCTTTACATTTCCAGAGTTCTGGTCATAGAAAATGAGGTATCAATAAGGTGAAGTATTTGTGCCTAGCTGACATAATATGCTGTGCCCACAAAATAACGTCAGAATGTCAGAGAAATATTTTCTGAGATAATGCGTTAGTTTCTAAAGGTTATATACTGTTTGCAGCCAAATTCGCATAGAAATATTTGTTGTTTATTACAAGGGTGAATTTCTGTTTGTCTTGGTTCAATGGTAAAGAATTGCATAAAATTATAAAATCTCCTAGTCACTCACTCACACTCACTCACGGAGTTGAGCCTTTCTTGAGATGCTGCTAATTGAGCAGCTACTCAAGAAATTCCCAGCATTTTATGGAACCTGAAGGTTCATTACCATGGTCACATGAGCCCACCACTGGTCCTCATCCTGAACCAGATCATTCCAATCCATACTATTCCATCCTATCTCTAAGATCCATTTAATATTGTCCACCAACCTACATCTTGGTCTTCCTACTGGTCTCTTTCCATGTGGCCTTCCCACCAATATCCTACGATGTATACGCACTCCACTACTCCCCCAATTATGATGCTTGCTCTGCCCATCACATCGTCCTTGACTTCATCATTCCAAGTATACTTGGAGAAGAGTACAAATTATGAAGTTCCTCGTTATGCAGTTTTCTTCAGCCTTCTGTCACTTCATTGCTCTTCGGCCTAAATATTCTCAACACCCTGTTTTCAAACACCCGCGGTCTATGTTCCTCCTTAATGTCAGAGCCCAAGTTTCACACCCATTCAGAGCCACAGGCAAAATTATAGTTTTTTTATATTCTAATTTTTATGTTTTTGGAAAGAAGACGAGAAGACAAAAGGTTCTGGACTGAATGCTAGTTAGCATTACCTGAATGTAGTCTCCTCTCAATTTCCCCCTGAATCAGGTTTTCATTTATTATAGTCTTTCCCAAATATATGAACTCTACCATATTTTCAAAACATCTGTTAACTGTCTTTATGTAATTTTGTCCTCCATTTTAGTAATGAGACAGCAACATATACTTAGTTCCTCTGTGTGATCTTCTAGCTGATGTACTGTCTCATCGTACTCCCATTTTTCCTCCAGTATCTGACAGATGCAAAACATATGATCAGTAGCTGTTCTGTTATGTCTAAACTCATGTCATCTATATTGGACTTAGCCTTGAGAGAAGAATGTTGGATAAAATTTTGTATGAAGTTGATAGCACTGATATCCCATCATAATTACTGCAGTCAGTTTTATGACCCTTCTTGTGAACTGGGAAAATGATAGACGACTACTACTGTTCACACAGTTGTACCTTACTCCAAATAGAATTAATGAGCTTATGGATCTTAGAAAGTATTATTTCGCCTCCTGCTTGAATCAGTTCTGCCGGAATGTGATCACTACCTGGCAATTATTTCTTGAGATGGAACCTCTCAATATGAACTCTGTGCATTGTTTGTTTACTCACTGTCAGTCTCTCCCTAAATTTTGTCACCACTACATAGTGGTCAGTATCACAATCCGCTGCCCTGAAGAATTGGACATCAGGTATACTTGAATGCCATCTTCTGTCTATCAAAATATGGTCAATTTGTTTGTGTCTTTCCATCAGATGTCCAATTAAATTTATGAATGTTATAATATGAGAACATTGTACTTTTGACAATGAGATTTTTTAATGGTGCAAAGTTTACTACTCTAACTCGACTATCACTACTAATTTCGTGTAAACTCTCGTTCTCAGTAAATATTTTGAAAATATCTTCCTTCCTACTTTGGCATTGAAATCTGCTAACATAATTTTCATATGGTATTTATGAAATTTATCGAATTTATGTTCTAGTTCCATATAGAAGCTGTCCTTCATATCATCAGTTTTATCTTCTGTTGGGGCATGAACATTCAGAACGATAGTATCGCACCAGTGACCTCTCAGTATTATATATGACATTCTATCACTAACAAACTCTACCATCTTAACTGCTGATATGATTCTTTTTTGTACGAGAAACCTGGTACCTAATTCATGATTCCCATTCTCCTTTCCATAGATAAACGTTTATTCACCTGCTAGTTCAGCACCACCTCCATCCCACTGATCCCCTGTACTTCCACTAAATCTAACTTATATTTTGAGATTTCTTCCACCACTGCCCAGAGCGAACCTGTCCTATACATCTAACATTCCAAGTACCAAATCTCATACATTTTTTTTCGCTTAGGTCGTTTATTCAAAGAATCCATCCAGGTCTGAGGTTTCTTGTGATCTCTCATAACATGCTTATTCTTTATGGTGAGGAGTTGTTAGCCCCATGCCCAACCCCCAAGCTGGAGGACCACTACTTGTCGGCTGTCCATGACTGGTTATTCAGTATATTCGCAGGTGCCCTCCATATCTGTAGGCAGTCTCCTCCTTCCGCAACCAGACAATGCGCCATGCCGTGATGACAAGGCACCCACCTAACATGGAAAATCTCTTAGTAACTAAATTAAATAACCAGACTTTCTGAAGGAGGATATACCAGTAGTGATGATAGAAGACTGAATGGGTGTCTACTTAACTCTTTGACTGGCGCGGGCGTGTTTTAACGCCCGGACGATGCCAGCCGTTCCCTGGCGTTGGCGTGTTTTAACGCTTTTACAATCTCTTCCCTTCTTTGCTCTCTTGGCACTCATCAACCAAAGACATATATATATGATAGTTTTTGTGCATGTTTGTAAAGAACCCTTGTAAACTTTGTGGGGGTCTATATTATTGTCAGAACCCTCTGAGAAGGAAAAGGTCGGAAAATATTTCACATTCATTCAGTTTCACCATGGCTTCTTGCAGCAAGTGTCTTCGTGTTCCTACAGACCAGCTGGAAAGTGTTGTGAAGGAGATTTGTGCTGATGATGGTAGTGGCGATGAAATAATGATTCCTGAATTAGATGAAGTTGATAGTGACAATAATACAGTGATAGACAGTGATCCACAAGACAGTAATCATGAACATTTAGCTATCACGAGTGCGGTGCCTGACACGCCCATCTCATGAACGTACGGAGACATTGTACCAACAATAGTTCTATTTGCTAGTAGTTTCGGGATCAAAATTAATATAACATAAAATGCACCCCTTTTCATGGATTAAAATTTTTCTGGATGACGACTTAGTAAATCACATCACAACTGAAACCAATCACTATGCTCACCAGCACTTCAACACACATGAGTTAGCTTCTCACTCTTGAGAACACAATTACAAATATGTCACACCAGATGAAATCTGGACATACTGAGGAATTGTGTTCATGACAGGAATCGACAAACGCCCTGAAATTGAAGAATATTGGTCCNCGTCAGACTCGAGTGCAGTCACGCCTCCGCCCTCGACCTTGAAAAGACCACCAGTGTAAGAGCCAGTAAATCGTCTAGAGGGTGGCCTGAAAATTCACAAAATGGTCCATGTTCCTCCCAGTAACAAGAAGAATGGTGCCCTGAGAAAGTGTCGCGTGAGTGCTAAGCACAAGATTAGAAAAGAAACAAGTGTCATCTGTGCAGGCTGTGGTGTGGCTCTCTGCAAACTTTCATGTTTCAATGTTTATCACATACTAATAAAGAAGTATGGAAAGGCATTTATTGCATAAAATATTGTCTTTTAATTAGTTCCTGAAAATTTCGTTTTCAAAACCAATTTTTGTTGAAGTTGTTTAGGAAAAAGTAACTACATGCATTTTAGCAACATAAGGTTTAAAGGGCCTGCCAGGACAGGGGTGGGATTTAAATACCCTTCGCGCCAGTCAAAAAGTTAACATTAAAATCTAATTAAGTATTTCATATTTCCAAATTTTAAATATGTCTGCTTTATTGAAGGAACATTTGCTGTGCAAACTGTACAAAAATCTTGGGATAAATGTTTAACTGATACATTCACCAATTAAGTTCTCTCTGTTACATTGCATCTAGGTCAGAGAACTAGAATATAGTAAACTGTGTAAAAAGATACAATTATCTGCCTTAAAATTAACGAGAAGACGAACATATTCATAGACAAAGCATATGTAAGCATTTTTCATCATGAACTTGCTGCAAAATTTTTTCACAGACATATGTGAATAAGCACCATACTATTATGTAGACCATTGTAAGTAGGCTATAGTCAAATCTGTTAACATTTTTGTAGTTCATCTGAAATTATATCTTATTCCAGCTTCTTAGCAAGAAACGAATTTCTTAATTTGAGATAGTACTTTTTTTGAACTTTCAGCCCTGTATAGCTTGAGCTACATTGTTGTTGAGTAAACCATAAAGAAATACATAAATATTTTGCTGAACTTCTGTCTGTATTCTGTGGTCTTGGCACACATTAAAATAGACTCATTTCTTTAGACCAGGCAGAGGCTTATGTGGTGTGTGGTGTACCGCAAAATACAAATATTCTTCATCACTCATATGTTTTATGTACGTGCAGGCAGAGGTATTGGACCCTTCTAACAAGCCTACTGCTGCCCATGGTGTGGCAGTTGGTGGATCCCAGTTTGAGGGTCCCGTGTCCCTTTCGCCCCCTCGTTTGTCAGACTCTCTCGGAGAACCCCCCTCCAGCTCAGGAGGCTCACGTCCCATGCCCCACTTCCAGAAGCTTCTTGCTAACCTGCAGGTGAGCGCTCCCTCCCCCACTCTGCCCACAACCCCATTTCTTGCTTAAGACGCATCACACTATGCTTCATTGTATCTGTAAAGCTTGCTGAATGTTAGTAGAGTTCACTGTGCAGAGTTTGATACCGAAAGAACTAGTTGTGTCCTTGTTGTTATAAATATTTATGTTGAAGTTAGCTGCATAATCATAAAATTCCCCCTGGTTTGTGGCAAGGCAAAGACCATAACTCCAATTCATTGCCTGGAACAGGTAATGTGCAAGTAAATTACATAGATCTTTAGCACAATAAAAGATAATGTCAGGAAAGATAGAAAGGTAAATAAAATTGTCCATACACTCAAGTAAGCAGTATGCGATGAAGTTATTCCTTGGAGCGAAGGTATAGCTCAGTGCATTCTTAACATCTGCAATAGATGTAGGTGAGTGATCAACTTCATGTCCTGGTCTCTCCTCTAGGAAAGAGCCCCTAGTGCTTATGGAATAAGAGGTTAGGTGAGCCCTAGAGTAAGTCTTGGTCATGGTGGAAAAGAAAAAAATATCTGCCCTTACCAGGATTCAAATCCATATTCCCTGGTTTTCCAGCCCACAACTTATTCAGTATAGTGGCTGGTATCCCTGATTGTACGGTTTCCCCACTGATTTATAGTTACTGTTTTTCTCAGAATTGGAACAGAATTGCTTTTAAGACAACCTTTTCATCACATTGGTTTTGCAAGATGCAAGACAGGTATAAATTTTTGTACCTTTTGGACTGTTGCTAAATACATATACACATATATTCTTGCCCTACATTTTCTTTTCCCATATTGCAGTGTTCTAATAAGAATATAAGCTTTATTTTAAGGTGAAAAAATGAATAAAAAGGCTGTAATTACATTAAAAATTAGATCTCATATTTTCTGAACAAGAGGTAAAATCGAAGAGTTGCAATAATGTGTAAATGTTAGAATTCTTTATATGAATTTATATTTGTAGAAAGAAGAGGAAGTAAGTGCAGTTATTGCAATATATTAAATCAATCTAGAGTCATTGCATTTTAATTGCTACACCTGGTAACTTCAGCCTGAATTGTTTCAAGAAGAAAAAAGGACACAATTTTTATGTTTTGGCTTAGTAACTAAAAAATATAGGATTCTTTGATTTCAGTATGTAAAAATCAGGTAAGATGTTAACCTAACAGAGCTTCACAGTTTTGTGAGGCTTTCTGTAGGTCACTATTCCCATACTCTGAAGTGACTGTCATAATTTATAAATTGTTCTTAGTGCCTTGTTAGTTGTTAAGCTTCTCACTTGCACCTTGAAAGTGTTTTAAGTTAATTCAGAAGCCACTGAATAATCAAAGGTGACAGAGGCGAACACCATGTTACAAAATGTTTAACTAATAAAAAAAGAATCTGTCATTGATCCTTTACATTGACTTCATTTTGTCCTAATTATAGAGTACTATAATATGAATTTAGTTTTAAACACACTCTTAGAATATATGGCAATATACTCTTCTCATAATATATCAGTTGGTCAGGGTCATCCAAGTTAACTACATTCTTTATTTATTACCCTATTGTAGGAAATGTTTGTACCTCAAGTGCATGCTTTGAGCACTCTGCACACATTATAAAGCTTGTGCTCTTATCACAATATTGCAGCAAAGTTGATTTCAAATGATAGTAAATATATTGTTACAATTCGGGATTTCTCCAAAACGTTATCCATTAACAAGCAGGCGTATCTGTTCTTCCCACAGAATATGGTTGCTTTGTCATTCCCACAGTAGTATCTAGTGGCAGTAATTTTAAAGAAGGAATAACACTTGAGTAAGAAATGAGAGTTACACATATTTTTATTCAGATGCTGCAATCTATATGACATAGAATTAATAATTATACAAATTAGCGATCTAGCTCTGTTAATAATTTCTCCATGCTCATATGATTATACATTTTGTGTAATAAAATACGTTTCTAACAAATACTCATTTGCAAGTTATGCAAAAATCTGTTTCACACAGAATTTGTGCTGATACTTATTATCAACCTCCATAGAGAATTTAAATGCCTGGTTCAAATGGGCGGTAAGTTTTTGGTTAAAAAGAAAGATGCTGACACATCTGTTGTACAAAAATGTTTTCATGATAAAAAAGTGCCTATTTTTCAACTGCCTACTACCACACCAAATTCTGGGATCCGCTATTGATCTTATAGCTTCACCTTAAAAGTTGTCTGGCTGCTCTGTAGTAATTATTGATGCAAGTAAATTGAAACATATAAAAAAAAAGGTGTTAATGACTCATGTAGCATAGTATCTATATAAAGTTCCATGAACGTCAGGCAGTTCAGGAGTTATTAGAGAGGGAGAGAGACAGGAATATACTGATACTACAAGCCTGTTTCCATGTAATGAAGTAAAATAAACTAGTGAAATGTTTTCCAATTATCTTCTGCCATTTTTTAGAGTACCATCAATGTAAATATTAACAGGAATGTAATTTGATCTCTTGCATTTTATTTATTTATGTTTGTATTTATTTTATTTATGTATTTATTTGCTTAAAACATAACATGATAAACTCAGGCACTGTGTTAAACTTGATGAACTTATGCAAAGAATCTGCTAGTGATTCTTTTCATTGTGAGATTTTAAGACATAGTGAAGTAACTTCTTAAGATATGAATTTCTTGGGTCTGACACCATGTAGTCTAGTAGACAGTCACATATTTATCGGACTACATCTCAAAAGACCGTATCATAATGTACATCACAATGAACCCCTACAGTCTCATACTTTCAATTTACAGTTGATTGAAAATCACTTTTGTCTTAAATACCGTATGTAAATTAAACTATTGTACTTCAGATGTTTACTTTTATGTCACGAGCACACATATTGGATTATACATATGCCATGATAGAAGGACTTTTATGTGGAATCCATCAATATTTTTGTACAAATCCATCTGTGTAATCTCCATGAGTTAGTTTAAACACTGCAGGATAATGAAAAATGTGTTCACTTTGAAGACATAGATTTTATCCTACATTTATCATGTATAATTTACTGTATATATTATTTAGTATCATAAAATATTATCTTACAGAAAAATTTCTTACTGGAAATACAAATCAGACATTATATGTACCCTCATATACATAATCAGTAATGTGTTTGAGTTAAAGTTTGTAGCAAATGCACAAGAAACACCTTATTACAGGATTACCAGATTAATTCTACTTTTATTAGCTAATGTGTAAGATTTTTTTTTACTTTATCTTTAGTATAACCATGTGTGAACGGCTTTTGATTCATATTCTGAAGCATGTAGTAAAAGAAAAGGGAATGGAAATCTTGATCTTTCTTAAAATGCTCTTGCTTTTTTCTCTAATGTCATGACAGTAGCAACAGTAGCCTATTGTGTCTTGAAAGTTATGCATGAATCAGTGTGCATGTGATATCATGCTTGTAGATGATGCAGTTGTAGAAAATCATGAACGTTAGTTCTAGGTGATATGGTTGTAGAAAAACGCAACTGCAGTATACTTCTGAGCAATATTATTATTGACAACATTACAATGGCATAGTTATAGGTGATGTGATTACAGAAACAAGAAGTTCTTGGAAGAACTAATTGCATACTTTCCTTTCACTACATGTTGAATACTGGGTACAACATGGACTACATAGAAAACGCTGCATCCACCAGTTCTTCTCTTGATGTATATGTATTTGTTACCAAGGGAACATGTTTACCATGCTGCCTAGCAATAGCCATCTATTTTGGCTCCTATATTCCAGCATTCAACAGTTGTTTGAGGGGGCAATGCACAAACATACATACAACAGGGTGATCTCATGGGCCTCATTTTATTTTTTCAAAAAAAAGAGAAATAGCAAGGACATAACAGTGATGCATTTCTAGGTGTCTCTTTTAAATATTAATACAACATTTGTCTACTGATATGTTGGGTTTTTGGACTTTATCCATCTTCCTGGTTTTTAAGATAACAAATAAAAACTCGACGTTTCGGAAACTGGATCTGATGGAAACAGATCCAGTTTCCAAAACGTCGTTTTTTATTTGTTATCTTAAAAACCAGGACGATGGATAAAGTCCAAAAACCCAACATATCAGTGTGTTATACACCATCGTCAGAATCCTATAGTAACATTTGTCTAATTTACATTAAACTCATTTGTATTAATACATTTAATAATAGTCTTTGTAATGTAGTAGTGATGATTTTGCCACATTATAGGGCTATGCTGCTGCTGCTTTGTTAAGTTGTCTTTGCCTCGATGGCTTTTATATTTCTTCATATTTGTTACATACTACACTTTTTAAGAGTAGCCCTTTTTCAATTTCAATTATTTATTTTTCTGTCAACATTTACTACTCATACCTAAAATATTCTTAATCTGTTACTTTTTTGTGAATTTTAATATACATTTTAGAAAATAATATTTGAATGAAAAGTAGTGATGTCAGTCCAGTATGAAGAAAGTAAATATTCAATTTCCATCTTATGGTTCTGTTTATAATTACTTCCAGCTATTGCTGTTAATACATGTAATGACACAGTAGGAAGCATTAGCCTTCAGTATATTAGGATCTGTTATTATTGACAATGTTACAGTTATCAAAGAAGAGAAATAGTTAATAAAATGTTAAGTTAGGAAATTCAAGAATGTAAAGACAACAGAAAATATATATCTTCTTTAGCCACTTTAAATTCATGCATCACCTTTCCAGAATTATTCTTGTACCTCATTTGATTAAGATACATATGCACCATTAATTCCTGTTCTCCACTAACCTGTCATTCACCAGTACATGTCAAATTATTTCTTGGTAATTCATTACATTTCATTCCCTACAAATGAACTTGTAAATATATAATTTTATTTGCCTACGCATCTATCTATCTGTGTGTCTGTCTGTCTGTCCGGCCATCTGTTCATCCATTCATTTGTCCATCTTTCATTCTATCTATTTAATATCTGACCTGGCCCAACAACAATGTAGTGGTTAGCACCCATACTTTTTTGTTCTAGGGGCCATGAGTTCAAATCTCAACACAGAAGCTGACTGTCATAACACAGAAGTTTTGTATCTTACTGTCATATTATGTGTGTAAAATTTCTTTATTTTACTCCATCACGACATTAAGTAGTGTGGACACATTATACATTTGTCATTTCTTACAACATGTTTCGGCTCATTAAGTCATCATTAAGTATCTGACTTTTACATTCACCTATTTTTGTCTGCTAGTATTCCTACATGGGCCAGTGTTTACATATTGAAATACTGGTTTTTAGTAGTATGTGATGCCATTATATGTAAAAAGTTGTGCTCACCTCTAAGATCGAATATTAATTGTTAAAATATTAAATCATTAGAATTAAATGTACGTAGATTGTTTTCTTGTACTTTTGTGGATGTAGTGTTTGCATGTAGGTATATCTCTTCTACCAGTGTATTTCATTTGGGTTCTTCCTGGTCTTGTATTGATGTAATATGTTTTTTTTTTTGGCTTGTAGGTATATAATTTCGTTTTCTCTTTGTTTATGTTCCTTGTGTTTGGGAGAAGTGCTGTGTGCCCTGTATGTGGTGGTTGTGAAACTGATCAGTTTCTATAAGATATTGAAGTACGAAAGATATCATTATGTAATCACCACTTCCTTATCATGGTACCATGTCCACTAAGGAATGCCTAGAAAAAACTTCAGAACATATTCTTTTCTTACTTTTGGATATATATAATTTTTTAAATTCTTAAATTTCTGTTTACTGTAGAACATGCTTAATACATATAAATTTATTAAAATTTCCTACCAATATTGAACTCTATTTTCTAAATAATAAACAGTCATTGTTCAAAACACTTGTTTTTTTTTTATTGTTAGTGGGGTGGGACTAAGTCCCTTGTACTGTGGCCACTTCTGTCCTATTGTACCAGCCCCAGATGATAGGTGAGGGTGATTGTGGAGCAATTGGTGGAATGAAGATTGGCAGGGGAACTGAAGTGCTCGGAGAAAACCTGCCCCAGCGCCACTTTGTCCACCACAAATCCCACTTGACCAGGCTCAGGATCAAACCCGGGTAGCCGTGGTGACAAGCCAGTGACTAACCACTTGACCTATGGCACGGCCCTTTCAAAACTCTTAAGTAAATTTCAATAATAAAAAGGTCTGCATTATTTGTTTCACTTTGGTTTCTTAGGGTTTGCCACTTTTTTGTTGCCAAATGCTTAAAGCTGATTAGGGGACATTTTAGTAATGTAAAAATAGCACTATCAGATATTTAATTTGAGAAATTCATCATAATAATTGAGTCATAGGAAATGTTATATATGGGGATAATATTAAGCTTCACTTCTACATCATTCAAAATATTTTTAAAGACTTGTATTATTGAAAAAATGTCAGTTTGGTAGCTTGTTACACAGAATGCTGTGTGTTGTAATGTGCGCTATGGGCATCACAATATTACAAGTGTTTGTAAACACAGACTCTTATAAGATTTGTAGTCTCTGTTGGTTTAAATGTAGAAACTTGGTTGCTTACTGTGTTTTAATACAGCACATTTGATTTAGAATATATGAATTATTAGCCATATCATTTTGCAAAATAACTGAGGACAGTTGTATTTTAGTAGCAATTGAACGTTGAAGTAGGTTTATGCTTAACTGTATATTTTGAAAATAGTGAAATAAGTTCATCACCATCTCTTCACATGCTGTTAACTGTTCTACTGCCTGAACTAGTAAAAGCAAGATCCAAAATAACAAAGAGCACAGAATCTTTGGCTGTTTCAGACATTTGGTAACTCCAGGGGCCATCGGATGGTCACTGAAACAATGGAGCAGGGGCACCATCATGACCATGAGGAGGATGAGGAAGCCACAGAGGATGCCCTAGGTTCCACAGTCATTTTGGGGAAAGGTAAAGCACCTGCTTTCATCTGTTAGATTTGCAACGTCTTTATTTTCCTTTATCTGTCAGCTGACTAACAAAGTAACCCTATGGATATAGTCCTTTTGAAATTAACAGTTACTCAGATACCCAAGATATTCTCAGATTTTCTTGGAACATAATGATTAATTTTTATTTTCACAAGGGCCTAGCCACTAGACTGTAACCTGAAGCAAATGTATCCAGTCCACATCCTTGTACTCTGTTTCTTTAAGATCAATTGTAATATTATTCCCCCCTCAATACCAAGGTGTTCCAAGATGTAACTTTCCTTCAGTTTTTCCAACCAGAATTTTGTACACATTTGTGATCTCTCCCATTCATGTTCCACTTATCTATTCCTTCTTGATACGATCACACTAGAAATATTTTTCTAAGCATACAAATTATGAAGTTCCCTTTCTCTAGCTTCCTGTCTTTTCCATCCTCTTTTTTTCAGATATTCTCCTCAGCTCCCTGTTCTCTCGTCAGACCACATTCATCCTATAATGTAAACGATCAGGTTTCAATACATCTTGCACTGTTGTTTTGTTATGTACCACCCTAATTTTCTTGTCTTTTTTTTTT